GCCGCCACCGCCGCCGCCGCCGCCGCCACCGCCACCGCCGCCCACCTGGGCGGGGGCCTCCGCCGGGCCGGCATCCTTGTCGTCACCGGGCACGGACACCTCGTAGACCTCCTGCTCCTCCTCCTCCTCCTCCTCCACCTTCTCAAACTTGACCTTGGGCACCAGCCGCACGGGCGGCCGCGTCTTCCGCCGGGTGTGCTTCTCGAAGGCCGCCTCCACCTCTAGCACCTCCTCTTCTGCCGGTTCCTCCAGGGCCCTCCCGCTGCAGGCCAGCTGGTAGACGTCGGGGCCTGGGGGCCCGGGCTCCCCCATGGCCGACCCGGACAGCTCGGGCCCCAGGTCCGGGTAGAAGGCTTCCGCGCTTATGGTGGCTCCAAAGAGCTCATTTTCCGAGACCAGGCCCAGCACGGCGGCCTGAGCCAAGGACAGCACCACCACGGCATCCGTCTGTGTCCCTGAGTCCATGAAGCCCTCCATCCCGCGGCGGCTGGCTAGGAGGGCATCGCTGCAGGGGGAGAACGGAGCATTAATACTGCTGGTTCTTGGCCGCACACACAATAGAAACACGTATTGCAGCAGGGGCTTGGCTGATTTGGGGTGCGTCTGTCCCTGGCGTGTTTCTCCCCCTGCCTTGGGAAAAGGACGCACTTGTCATTACGGGGACACCCTCTGTGTGTCTGACACATTTTCCCCATTCCCTGTGGGATCCTGGACAAGCCCTGCCCCCTCCCTGGCCTCAGTCGGCCCTCCTGTAACAGGTGGCATTTCCACAGCGGTTTTCAAACTATGTTCCCCATAATGTCCTTCCAGAGTTCCTCCAAAAAGCTGATTTAAAATTGCAAAAAATAAAGATTCCTTTCTTTTAAAAATCGATTTTAGAGTACCCATCTACTCTCAAATGTAAAATACACTTCGCTTCGGCACATTCTATAGCCTCACTGGCTTTGTTCCCAAGGTAATTAATTTTGCACAGACCTTGAGACCGTACAGTGAGGTGTTTGGTTTTTAAAAAATATATGTATTGCCGGGAGGGGGGGTGAGGTGGGGGAAAAATAAAAAAAAAATGTTTTTTATATATATATATGGCAAAAACAAAGCAACACACAAACATAAATTAGGTGCCAAGGTCCATCTTGGCGGCTACCACTTATCTATGACGCCTGATGTTACATGACTGTGTCACAATAGGTGATTGTTCTGGATTAGCTAAGTATTACACATTTAGATATCTAAATTTATGCCGATTAAAAGCACAGCTTTCCTCCGATGGGTACACTGGCGTTCCATGTAAGATGTGATCTGATCGAAGGGCCCGTGATGGCTAACACGTTCCAGAGCACTGTCTGACACGAATACAAAAGCCGGCTCCCAGGTTCGCAGGCATGCACTCTGACCTGACGGGTTCTTCTAAAAAAGCCAACGCGCCCACCCGCTCCGGTCCAAACCCTGGGTGCACCGGCTCCCTGCCTTCCTAGGGACGCAGTCTGTGTAGGGGGCCTTTGCATATGATTCTCCCACCAGCCTCCCAGGCTTCCCTCAAATTCCACCTGTTTCTGGGACTCACCGGCCCTCCCTTGGCTCTGGAGCCCTCTCTGGGCCTCAACGGGACTGCGTGTGCCCCGCCCGTGGGAGGGCCTCGTCTCTGGCCTGGGACACTCGGCCTGATTGCAAGGCCCACCCTGGCTCGGCGCAGGCACATCAGAAGTGCTCCATAGGAAGGGGAAAGCTATTACTGGGGTGGCTCCTGGCTGCCGGGCCTGCTCTGATCCCAGGGTCAGGGTCAGGCGCATGGCGGGCTGTGGCCCTTCCTCAGGAAACCGGCTCGGGCCTCATATCTCCCTCCCCTCACAGGCCAGGGGAGCTTCTCCTTCCTGAAGCCGGCTAAAAATAAAATACCCCAGACAGGAATTGAGCTTCCTCGAAACGGACACTAAAGATTAAACTATTAATCTTAAAGTCAGGCTCTCGTGAGAGGGTCAGGTGGGACTGAACCTGACTCGGGTTCAGAGTCCATCCGGAACAGGCTGGAGGGGCTAAACCTCCTTCAGGCCAGCGCCACCGCCCCTGTTGGAAAGAGCACAGAATGGGGGGGGGGAGGGCCAGGCAGCTTGGCCCCAAGTCAGAACTCTGTCACATACAGGGACTGAGAAGGGTCACTTCAAAGTCTCATGTGCACCTCAGTTTCTCCATCTAAATAAAACATGGGGATGGAAAGACCTAACACATGGAAGGACCGTGAGAGCCTTGCGCTCGTAACTAGGAAAGGGGATTTGTTAATTATAAAGCCCTCACCAAATGTAAACAATTAACTTATTTATTTGCCCAGAGCTCTGGAAGATTTTCCTGATGAAGCTCACAGAGACCAGAGATGTTTCCCTTGTGGGGCCCCCAATTCAGCAAAGGTTGGGGGTGCTTCTGGGATGAGAACTCATTCATATCTTTGTGCAGCAAATACTTGCTAAATCCCTGCTCTGGGTCAGGCCCTGTGCCCGGAGATGTGAGGTGGGCGAGGCAGGCCCCCCGCCTCATGGAATCCTCACAGGAGACTGCTGTGCTCGCCGTGGCCACCCCGTGGGGCAGCATCGTTCCCCCTCTCCCCCCCCAGACCGCCAGTCTGACACAGCACCCAGGGACAGCCCTCATGCCGGCTGTGGGTTTGAGCAAACAACATGCTCAGCACTTTTTCTAGACTTCCCTGAAGTTAGGGCCAGGGAGGGAGCAACTGATCCCCAGCAGCAGAGCCGGTGTCGGGACTTGGCCCTGGGTTTGGAGTTCAAATCCGAATTTTGCCCTTTTCTCGCTCAGGCACATCCCATAGCATCCCCAGCTCGTGGGGTGGCGAGTACAAATGTTGGCTCCCTCTCTGTCCTCCCCTCTGCGGCCCCAAAGCTGGCACCTCCCCCCCACCCCACCCCCAGCGACCTCAAGTGAATGGGAGCAAAGAAACCATCATCCCTCTGGGAGATGAGCCGTGGGAGCGGGGCGCAGGTCTGGCGTGGGCCCCCGTGGGGCGGGTGACCGTCCAGTTTATCATCACGGCTAGGACTGACCTTTCGGAGTGAAAGGGGCCACTCCTAATGATCACACCAGCCCCTGGCCAACCACGTGTCCCCTTCCCCTGGGAGCAGGCAGGCAGTTTTGACTTTGGGGCTGGAGTCAATGTTCCTGTGACAGGAGCCTCTGCCTGGGTGTGAAAGGGGACCAGCCCGGGGTTCTTGCTCATGAGGGGTTTGTGCCCACGTGGCGGGGGACATAGGGGAGCCAACTATTAACCCTAAATGTGGGCGGAAGAGCTAGCTTCCCATTACCGAGTGCTCACAAGGTCCCAGGTGAGCCGCTGAATCCTAAAAACAACCCCATGGGGGGTGGGGGCGGGATGCACCCCATTTCACAGCCCAGGAACCCAGGGCCTCAGTCACAGGCTTGAGTGTCCCATCAGTCAGGGCAGAGCTGGGTCTGCACCCAGGCTTGGGGGCCCTACAGCCCGGCCCCATCTGGGCCCCATGCCTGCAGTTCTGCTCCTTTAATCTGTGCTACCGGGTAGGTCGTGTCACGGCTCTGAGCCCGGCCTCGGCTCCCAGGTGCTGCCCAGTGGTGCCCAGGGTCTGAGGAGCCAGCAGGTGCTCATGGGCCCCCAGGTGACCTGCAACTGGGAAGCCTCAGAGCTGTCCCTGTCTGGCTGGTCCGGGGACCCCTCCAGGGCAGCTAGAGCCCCTCCATGGCTCTCTACTCAGACCACACTTCTTGCTGGAACCCTGCATCAGCCCTGTACCTGCCTGGCCAGTCAGACCCCTGCTCTTCCTGTGCGCCCGACAGACACTTGTCTGAGCAGAACACCGCCCCCGTCCCCCTCCCCCCACCCCCCCACAAGTGCATGTTCACTGGTGCAGCCAGGCTGGCTGCACGTATGCGTGCGTAGGTTTCAGATGGGCTCTGTTTGTTGAGACAGAGGCTCAGAGAAAGACAGGGAATCTAATTTACCTGCATTTTGCATGCGTGCTCCGTCTACCAGACACAGAAACGAGGAGTGGGAAGGTGGGGACACTCTGCAACCCAGTGTCCCTATTTCTCCTCCTCCTGGGTCATTTTTGGGGCACCCTCCCCCCTCTGCCCCACTGGCTACAGCCCTTCTGTTTTATGCCCTAGCTCGAGGCCTGGAGGAGAGCCTGCCAGGTGTGCACCACCTGTGGGCCAGGCACCCCCTCCTCAAGGCCTCAAGGCCCCCCCTTGTGTGGGACTCAGAACCAAAGCTCACCACCGTGTCCCAGCGAAAGGGGAGCTCAGGCCTTCCTGGGCTCTCCATGGCCTCGCTAGGAGGTGAGGAGCATCCATCTGGGCAGGATGCAGCTCAGCCTCCTGCCAGGGCACCCTTGGTTCCCAGCGTGGAGAGAAAGGACATGGCAAAGGCAGGAAAACAGAGGAGACAGAATAGCTGCTTGGTTGTAGCTTAAAGACTGGGACTGGGAGTCGGGGGAAGGGAGGCCATGGCGGGGAGGTAGGAGGGGCAGCCCTATTTCCCAGGGCCCAGCATCACCCAGGCCAGCCCCCTGGGGAGCGCCCCAAGCCTTACCCTCTGAGGCCCAGCAGGAGGCCTTCCCCACCCCAGCAGGGACCCTAGCCCCCAGAGCTCTGTCACTTCACCTGCTGCTGTACTCTAAGTGTTCCTGTCAACACCGACACTCTTGTCAAATACATTAAGGGGTGACTTTGCTGTGTGACGCTGGACGAGTCACCTGACCACACAAGGTCTTGGTTTCTTTGTCTGTAAAAAGGGCACACGTGGCTTCTTGGAACGTTGAGGGCGGGTTAATCCTTGGCCTACCTGCCTGTCACGCCGGGTCCCCTCTGTGAGATGTGGCAGCACCCCTGCTCCCCCAACAGTGTTCTAGAAGCACCTTTCCCGTCAGTGAGAGCCCCTCCACGCATCCCCGCTCTGACAGCAGGACAGGGCTGGGGAGCTCAGGGTGGCCAGTGTCCCTAGAACATAGACGGTAGGGCAGAGCTCGGGTGGAAGGCACTGGAGGCCTGGTCTGCCCTGGGGCCCCTGGGAAGGAAGTGACCAGCAGGTTATTCTGAGTAAATTCCACCACCAGGACATCCTCTCAAAAAACAACTGAGAGCATAGGAATAATGCCCTGGGGCTTCTGCCAACCCCACTTTGGGATGTCTCCATGCGCCTGTGATCCATTTACCGCGATGACTATCCTTGAGGGTCTAGTAGGTGTCAGGGCCTGTGCCCCCACACAGGCTGCACGATGCCCCAGGCTTCTGCTGGGAGGACAGGTTTAGCCCTTGGCCCCTTCATCTTGACGTTGAACCACCAGGTGGCTCAGAGGCTGTGTCTCCAGTCCTGCAATTGAATCACTGACTCAGCCACAGCTCCCGGCTACCCACGAGGTGCTGGGTACTGGTCTTGGTTGTAGGGATACAGTAGAGAGCAAAATAAAGTTGCAGCCCTCAAGGAGCTGCCCTGAGTG